GTTTTTTTTATATTAACTTAAAACACAAAAAAATCACAACGAAAAAAATTATATATTTATATGTAACGTAGTTTATATAAATAATTCCGGTTTTTTTTAAATGCGGTGGGTAGCCCCTGGACAGCATCAGCTTTCGGGGCCCCTACCTAGGGCTTTTCAGCGCCCATTGTGGGGCGGTAGGAACCACTTTGGGAAACTACGCTCTAAAAGATAATAACTCTATGGACGGGAGTCGTCGTGGAGGACGCTTGCACGTTTGAACTTATTCTACCAAATACAGATCTAAAACGTGTCAGATAGTACAACAAAAATGTAAAAGTTCATTTTTGTAAATTTATTATGTTTTGTAAAAAGTCATGGAACAAAAGTTGTTTATGAATATAGTAATTTCCTGCGAGGAAAGAATGAACCCTGTATTTTAACGCTTGTAATATTCAATATTTCGGTCAGACGCACGGTAGAAAAGGGAGCAAGTATCATGGAAACTGCACTATCATTTTTAAAGAAATTTAAAATTTTCTTTTAAATAGTTTTTAGTGTTTGTTTCGGATAGATTAGACATAAATAGACAATTTTTGTTCAAATTAAATTTTCTCCACGGGCGACAGATTTCGAGAAAATTGAGGACGAAAATTTAATTTACCAAGGCCGTGCAGTCTATTATCTGAAACGTTCAGAAATGCCCTCCCTAATTTCGGTTCTAAATAGGGTTATTTGTAAAATACTAACCTCACAGGAACTAACATCATATCGCAAACATGAACTTTTGATCCATGACTGTCAATAAATCATCAGATTATATTTCCGTCCAAAAATAAGAATATTCAAATAGATCACTCTGTATGGTGATAATAACTGCGCTGTGGCAAAAGTAGGCTTGTATAGTTCATGAACTACGAACTATTAGGAATATATTCCCGACACTGACCGACATGAACTAGTTCGTCTTGGACGGTTTTAATAGCTCATCGTTCTAGTTCAGTACGAACTAGGAACTGTCTGGGTTGATAGTTCACCTGTCTTTTATTCAGTAGGAACGGTGCTAGCACGAAAAATAGCGATCTTTTACTACTTTTAGCACGAGTTCGAGTGGGACGCACGATTGAACGTTGCCAGCTCGTTCTAAGTGTCTAATACGTATCTACATTATGTATAATATACAAGCTTGCAAAAACGTAATATTTTTTGGTAGGTATCAGTATGAATAATATCAACCTACGCGTACGAGTATATGAAATAGTTGTACCTAAATATTGATTTTTAAACACACCATTCTAACTATAATTTTTATTTTGTAAAAAAAGAGTATTTAGTTAGAATGACAGTCTTTAAACTTGTAAAATGAAGGAAAATGAAATAGTATCGATTCCATACAAATTGTATTTTTTAATATTTAGTACAGTGTAGTATTGACCTCATAATACTAGAAGTCCGTAGCAGTTCATGTTAATAAAATTACTAGTTTGGAGCTTTCGTTCAATATCCGAGCAAGGACAAGACGAACTAATTAACTAAGGAACTAGATGAACTAGAAGACCGACTTAGTTCAATTGACCGTTTGAACTAACTAGGATCGCTCCCTCTATGGGCCGATCAGGCAGAAGTCTAAAAAGAAGGCATCTGTGGGTTTCGGTTAACACTCATGAATAGACGACTGACTTTTATATAACTTTTAATGGACAACTTAATTATAATCTATATAACTCACAAAAGTTTTAGTGGAGAACATGTCTATCGAAAGTGAAGAGAAAAACACAGATAAAAAAGGCGCGCAAACCGCGTTATTTTAACGGCTTCGCCCGCCACACCACCCCCCCACGGAGAAAGGTAAAATCACCAAATCTTAAACTTTACACGCCTACCGGAACGAGTGACGTATGGGTTTGCAGAGGCTGAAAATCCAGGGGATTTCTTAGTCGCTGGAGAAAACTCTGGTTGAGGTGATGTATCAGTTGCAGGAGGCTGGTGTTGGTCTGTTAAATCCAGAGTAGTCTCCTTAGTCCTAGCAGTGTTTGGGTTAGTTGGTGGTTGCTCAATAAAAGCAGGTTTGACTCTGTCGACACTTACTACGACTGATTTTCCCTTAAAATCGATAGTAATGGTTTTACCATCGTCAGAACGATTAAGAACTGAATACGGTCCCGTGTATGGGGGCTGTAATGGACGCCGAACAGCGTCGTCCCGTAGAAATACGTGGGAGGCGTGAGACAGGTCCTTAAAGATAAAAGACGTGGGTTGTGTGTGACGAGACGCGCCGACAGGTCGAATGTTCGACATGTGACGGCGTAGTCGGACAACTAGATCAGTCGCGTCTTCGATTTTGTCAGGTCCGGGTGCAGGTACCAACAATTCGCCAGGGAGGCGCAAGGTTTCGCCGTAAAGCATTTCAGCAGCGGTTGCTTTAAGGTCCTCTTTAAAAGCCGACCTCATTCCCAAGAGCACGAAAGGAAAGGCTTGGATCCAGGAGTTCCCGTGGCATGTAAGAGAAGCCTTAAGTTGCCGGTGTACACGCTCGATCATGCCATTTGCGGCTGGATGGTAAGCGGTGGTACGTATCCGTTTGGTGGCGAAGTTTTGTAAAAGTCGACGGAACAGGTCGGACTCAAATTGAACACCACGATCTGTTGTAAGTACTGAAGGTACCCCGTAACGCGCGACCCATTCCCTGGTGAGAGTTTCTGCTACTTCTTCTGCCGTCGTTGTCCGCATGGGCCAGACTTCGGGCCATCTGGTCACTCTGTCAATTGCCGTGAGGCAATAACGATAGTCGTTACAAACCTGTAGTGGACCTATTATGTCCATGTGGACGTGTATGAATCGACCAGATGGCGTATCAAAGTTGCCTAAGGGAGCGGAGTTATGACGAGTTACTTTGCTGCGCTGACAAGCTTGGCAAACTCGAGACCAACTTCGACAGTCTTTATTTATGGAGGGCCAAACGTATCGATCGGCTACGAGGCGAGTTGTCGCACGAGATCCGGGATGGCTCAAATTATGAAGTTTATTGAAAATGGCTCGGCGAAATTCGGGAGTGACATAGGGTCGAGGCTTGCTTGTTGAAAGATCACAGATTAAAGAGAGATCGGTGCCAGGTATTACAACTTTGGTAAGTTGAAGGCTGGAAGAATTATTCTCCAAAAGTCTTAGGAGTTCTTCGTCCGACTTTTGTGACTTGGCAAGATCCTCGTATTCCTGCTCCAGGGAGATTGCGTTAATTCGAGACATGGCATCAGCCACTGTGTTGTCTTCGCCTTTGATGTGTTTTATGTCAGTCGTAAACTGACTTATAAAAGACAACTGGTTGAGTTGTGCAGGAGCAAGCTTCTCTCGGCGCTGTAAGAAGGCGTACAACAAAGGTTTGTGGTCTGTAAAAATAGTGGCGTGCTGGACCTCGAGGATGTAACGGAAGTGCTGTACGCTTTCGTACACCGCCAAGAGTTCTCTATGGTAGGTGGGCCACTGAGACTGCTGAGGGGTCAGCTTCTTGCTAAAGAATGCAAGTGGAAACCATTGTCCACCAATTTGTTGCTGCAAGCAAGAGCCGATGTGTACGCCGGAAGCATCAGTAAAAAGACCCAGCGGGGCATCGCTAACAGGATGTTGTACCAAAGTCGCATCAGCTAAGCTCCTCTTACACGCCTCAAATTTCTCGAGCAATTCCGGAGACCAAGGAAAGGGTTTGGCTCCCTTGCTGTTGGTAGAGACAAGAGCATCGATTAACGGCGCCTGGAATTGAGCGGCGTGAGGGATAAATCGGCGATAATAATTTATCATTCCAAGAAATCGCCTCATGCCCTGAACGGTTTCAGGTGGTGGAAAATCCATCAGATGTTGAACCCTGTCTTTGGGAGGGAGAGTGCCCTGGGCATTGATCAAATTGCCTAAGAAAATAACCTCGCTGGCACCAAGAACGCATTTCGAGGGGTTTATGACCACTCCATATTTCTGAAAGCGCTCGAAAAGGAGGCGCAAATGATCCTTGTGAGTAGCAGCATCCCGAGAGAAAACTAAGACGTCGTCTACGTACGGAAAACAGAAATCGAGACCCCGTGTGACCTCATCGATAAAACGTTGAAACGTTTGACCAGCGTTTCGTAAGCCGAAGGTCATAAAAGGAAATTCGAAGAGGCCAAACGGGGTAACGATGGCTGTCTTCGAAATGTCGTCCTTAAAAACGGGAATCTGATGGTATGCCTTCACAAGGTCTATAGTACTAAAAACAGTAGCACCAGCGAGGCTATTGGCAAAGTCATTGATATGCCTGACAGGATATCTGTCCGGGATCGTCCTAGCGTTCAAAGCGCGGTAATCGCCGCATGGACGCCAGGTGTTGTCCTTTTTGGGCGTCAAGTGCAGAGGAGACGACCAAGCACTTTCAGAAGGACGGGCAGTGCCACATTGAACCATGTCTTCAAATACTTTCTTGGCAGCTACAAGTTTCTGAGGGGCCAAACGACGGGGGCGACATGACACGGGAGGTCCTTCAGTCGTATTAATGTGGTGCACTGTACTGTGCTTTACAATTCTAGGTAAGCCAGGAGGACGCGTTACGTCTGGAAACTCAGCAAGCACGGGTGCGTAGTATGAATCACCAATAGAAATTGCTTTGACGCTATCCTGTTTGATTTGTGCAACACAAGCTGAAACAGCAAGGTTAGTATTACCATCAATAAGACGCTTATAACGACAATCCGGAAGAAGATTATAGTGACTAAGAAAATCAGAGCCGATTATGGGAGTGCTGACATCAGCGATAATAAAATTCCAAAGGAAATCGCGGCGTAACCCAAGATTGAGGTGTAAGGAGATGTTACCATAAGTCTTGATTGAACTGCCGTTTGCAGCACTAAGGTCATAGTCACTGTTGTTGTAGCGGCCTTTGAGTAAACGCCTGGGAAAACAACAGAGGTCTGAGCCAGTATCGATGAGATACTGGTACTTAGACGTCCGGTCAGTTACAAACAGGCGGCGGCCGGAAGAAAAACAATCAGTAGCCGCCTCTACTGATTGTTGCTCACGTTTCCCTGTGGGGGTGTCCATGCGCAAGGCTTTGTGCATTTGGTTGCCTTGGTATCAAATTTCTTGTGATACCAGCATACCTTGGGTCCTCTTGACGGCGTGTTGCCACGAGAACGGCGGTTTGAAGACACGGAACGGTCGCGTGAACGACCACGGATACCCTTAGTAGAGAGTGCAGCTATTTGCTTCTTCAGGTCCGCTATCTCATTAGTCAAGGAGGCCACCACAGAGGACGGAGGGCCTGATGTAGAGGCAGAAAAAACTTGGTTCCTTGGACCGACAAGTTCAATAATTTTATCAGCAAGATCAGCTGTTTTATCAAGGCCCAGTTCAGCCTGAGACGCTAAGATAGCCTGGACTTGCTGTGGAAGGCGTCGCATCCACAAGGAGCGTAAGATGCTTTCATCTGATAGAGCTGCGCCAGCTAGTGACCGGAGGTGCCTAAGAAATTGGGACGGCCTCCGGTCTCCGAGCTCTTCTTCGCTTAATAGCTGGCGAACACGCTGCTCTTGTGACATTGAGAGTCGTTGGATTAGCTCTTCTTTTAGTTTTAGATACTTGCCAGACTTGGGAGGCTTAGTTATAATGTCATCAATCTCTCCGGCCAATCTTTGATCCAACTGACTGATAACGTAGTTAAACATGGTATTGTCAGAAGTTATTCCTGCAATAGCAAATTGTGCTTCTACTTGAGCAAACCAGACAGCGGGTTTGTCTGTCCAAAATGGAGGCATTTTCACACTCACAGCGCAAGCTTCAGCCTTTTTCTCCTCTCTCAATCTTAGCTGTAAGGCAGCATTCTCAGCCAAAAGCCTTTCAATTTCCTGTTTAAACAGTTCTTCATCCATGTTAATGGTTCTATAGTACCAAACAAACACTAAACCAATAGTCGTGCAAAAATAATTAAAACCAGGAAAAATTGTTAGTGACTGGGGTGGGTGCAGTGGCAAAACGAAGCTATGACACACAAAACAGTACACAAAAATAAAAATGTTTGTAAAAGCAAATTATCATAACAATGCACAGTATTAGAACATGCTATTAGAACACTAAGAACGTATAGCAAAAAATTTACACACTTTGTCTAGAAATTATGACTGCAGAACCACTGTGCAGTCCCATGTTAATATACAAAATGGTAAAAAAAACTTAATTTTCCTAAAAACTAAATCAATAATTTAAAAGAAAATGGCTTGAAAGTTTAATTACAGCTATTAATTAGTAGGTATTCAGTATTCATTACATTTATTAATAATAAACAGTATTTTTGTTAGTAAAAACAATAAGGAATTAAATTTCAAGATAGGAAATTCACTTCTGTAAATTTGTAAGTATGAGAAAAAAAAAACAGATTTTGCTTAGGTAAGTAGGGTAAGTTTAGTCATATGAAATTGTCAGTTTAGTTTATATTAAAAAACACCACACCACACAAAGCACAAAACACCAAATAAAGTTCGAAATCGAGATAGACGGTTAATGGGTTTCCTGGAGGATTCCACTGTCAGTAAGTTCTCTGGAGGATTCCAATAAGAAAGTAAGTAAAGTTCAGCATACCAGAGTGTCGTTAGCAGTTAGAGGCTTCAAACCTCGGTGTGTTTAGAGTCGGCAGTGGTCATTAGCTTCCAACCAAGCTGCTAGCAGATTCAATCCGGCGTCAGCGCAGAAAAGTTAGTGCAGCAGTTGACGCCGACAACCCACCACCGAACCAAATCACGTCGGGGTCACCAATTGTGGGTTTCGGTTAACACTCATGAATAGACGACTGACTTTTATATAACTTTTAATGGACAACTTAATTATAATCTATATAACTCACAAAAGTTTTAGTGGAGAACATGTCTATCGAAAGTGAAGAGAAAAACACAGATAAAAAAGGCGCGCAAACCGCGTTATTTTAACGGCTTCGCCCGCCACACATCCACCGTTAAAATTATTTTTACGGATGACAGCACACGGAGGCGTTGTTGCTAGATCTAAAAAGTGTCAGACAGCAAAACAAAAACCTAAGTTTATTTTTAGTAAATTTATTGTTTTGTATGATGTTCGTAGGTTTTTAGTATTTTACAAATAACCCGGTCTATTTGGATGCCATTTTCACGTATACAGGGTGTCCGTTAAATAATGGATAAGCCTGAAATGACTTATAGTAGAGCTTGACTGTTAAAAAAAATATAACGAAAAATAATATCCCAAGTAGTACCTAAGATTTATTTTTTAACATTAATAGCAATAATTTTCTATTTAAATTAGATACAATTATGAACTATAACATTTTGAAATGTACTTTAAACACACAATACTTTATAATAGTTGGCCACTCAAATTATCATACATTTTAAAAATTAAAGTTGCTTAAACTTAGTGAAAAAAAAATGCACTAAAACTTTTTAATTTATAAGTTTTAAAACTTTTAAAAAAATTAAAAATTAAAGTGCAATATCTGGTAACACTATTTATTGCCTATCTATTAGCACTGTTAACGTAGAATATTATGAACGTAAAATCATAAAATAAGGTGAAAATAATTAAATTTAAAGAAAAAAATATCTTAGGTACTACATGGGATGTATATGCTGCTATAAGGCATTTCAGGCTTATCCATTCTTTACCTGTTCGTTAAAGAATGGGTAAGCCTGACCTTATAAGAAAAAAAATAATATAAAAAATCATATGATTACCATACATAAAATGAATTTGGCTGCCTTTGTGCTGATAGCCTCAGATAATGTTCATATCAATGCTCACTACACTACCACTTTGCATGGCTAAGAGGAAAATAATGTTTATTTTTAATGAAACGTCATCACTATGAGAGCGGCAGTACCTAAATATTTATTATTATACGATTATTCATATCACAAGTACACAAAGTCTTTTCTGATTTTATGTGTTTTTCTGCCAGAACTTGGCAGCGTTGCGCGGCGTTTTGCCTTTGCCCGAATTCTTCTTAGGCGCAGAGTGGGATTCGGTGCCACCACCCGCCGCAGACTCTTCGGTCTCGGCTTGTGTCTTCAATGTCTTCTTTATATATATTACCTGGGAGAAGAAATATATAGTTTTTTATAACATTTTAAATGATCATCTATTATATAACAATAATATACTAATATACCCCGCACTAGGGAAACCCTGTGTCGCGGGTGCCATGGACGCACTCATAGACAACTACACATTACACCCAAACTCACGAGAGAAATAAATGTGGGCCATACGAATATTTCTCCCGCACAGGAAGCGAACCCGGGACCTCTGCGTGGCAGTCCGTCATTGTAATCATTCTGCCACGGAGGCCGAATATATATAGAATATAGAAATATATATAGTATTGCATTACTTTGTTATATTTTTCACAACGAGGGGTTCGTCACAAAATCCATTAAGTGCGTGAATTTCTATCCACTCCATATCCGGCAATCATCTATGGGTGATAGTAGGCATTATACATTTCCTTTTGTATTGTACGTAAACTTGAATGAATTAATATCACAATAATGAGGAGCTTTGGAACTAAACTGATAAGGCCGATCCTTTATTCTAATATCTTAAAAATATGCCTTATCGCTTATGGCTCCAACTTCCTTTATTTATATGTACATTATTTTAGTGAATAAATTTTTTAACTATACTTTCAGAGCCACGGATACAGGCTGTTACAATACAGATGCAGTTACCTCTTGTTCAATTTGTTGCTGATGCCTAATAGCTCTTTGTTTGTGGTGATTGGCCCTCTGTATGTGGCGGTCAACGGAGCTTAGTACAGCTTCGCATGCATTGCACCAGTCAGCAAGCACGTCTGCGATGGACGAGGCGTCTTCCAGGCGTGCATCGCGGCCTAGAGCTACGTCCACCTCTACGCGCTTGCATTCTTGGTCTAATTTGCCGTGGATTATATCTGTAATGTCAGAAAATAGTTCTTTAAAAGTCGTTCACTTTTTATAACGTTATAAATAAAGTAGATATTGCTCCATTAACATTAATTTAATGATGTTTTGAACAATCTTTAATACTTTAAGTAAAAAAAAAATTATTACATAATTCATAGATTTTTTACAGATGGCGCTACGGCGAAAAAGTGATATTCAATAAACTTAATAATAAAAATAATAAGTTCATTTTTCCCCTATGTGAGTCAAAGTCATACCCATTAATACGCACACACGCTGCTAAACACATCAAATTGATCGTAATACAACAGCTGTGCGAAGGCGTGGCACACAGCGGTAACTGCAATTTATATAGATGCAGCAGGTGTGTTGAATGCGCATTGGCGACACCGTACACGCAACAGGTGCGGTAAGCACAGAAAATGTAATAATCTCTTAGCAGCTGTTTACGACTACACTTGTGCTTTTCTGTAGTGCAATAAAATGATTCTTCTTTAGCTCCTTCTGAATGTTGATGACAGGTTACGCAAAACAAGATGGTAAGATATATTGGGGAGCGACACGAGGACCAAATTTACTATAATAAATACATTTAACATGTTCTGTCTTTAGATATAAACAGCCCTTACCAATATTTTGCCAGGACATGATATTATTATTTCTGAAGAAATTACATTACCAATATTTTATGTTACATGGGTACAATGTAATGTACCAATAATTCTACTGCCTCTGTAGTTGAACAGTTAAATATGCCATGCAGAGGTCCCGGGTTCAATGGCAATATTGTACGGCCTACATTTATTTCTTTCGTGTGTTTGAGTGTAATTTGTGGTTGTCTATATGTATGTCCATGGCACCCGTGATACAGGGTTTCCCTAGTGAAGGACTATGAGTGTGGGCGCAAAAAAATCATTAAAAGACAGTTTTTTTATAATATCAAGTGACGGGACGGATAAGTCGTGCGCCTGATGGTAAGCTACACGCCTGTCCATAACAGTTGCAGTGCCACTCAGAGCTTTAAATCGCAAAGATCTGAGGGGCACTGCCACTGCGCCCGTGACCCTGAGACGGTAAGTTGACAAGTCTCATGTGCCTGTAATTTCACCAGCACCCTTGCTCTTCAAAACTGGAACACAGTAACGCTGACATTACTGCTTGGCGACAGAAATAAGTAAGGTGGTAGTACTTCCCTCGATGAACTCTTTCACAATGAGCTAGCTCTACTGCTACTTAATATGTAATTAAAACTAAATAATCAATAAAGCACCTTTTAAAAAAAACTCATTACCTGCATAAATAGCTTCTATAATAAGGTCTTCCAGATCTCTAACATTCTTTATATCCAATTCCTTCAACAGCACACTATAGGGAATACATTTCTCTTGTGTAGCAAGACTGGCAATTGTTAGATGTTGTAGCTTCTTACACTGTGCTGGGGTCAACTCTAGGTAGTCCGATTTGTTCTCTAGGTAATCTTTGTATGTGCCGTATGCAAATAAAATTAGAGTTTTGAGATGTTTGTCATAAGTACCACCTTCAAGCTGAAATCAAACAGACAATGCAATTTATTCTTTCCTTTTTAATAGGCTGTTTACCCACAATTTTGCGGAATAGTCAGTCTAACATTACTTAGACTTATACAAATATTTTATTTTAAACAATACAATTTTTTTATAATATCAAGTAACAGGACGAACAAGCCGTGCGCCTGAAGGTAATCTACACGCCTGTTCATAACAGTTGCAGTGCCACTCAGAACTTTAAATAGCAAAGATCTGAGGGGCACCGCCACTGCGCCCGTCACCCTGAGATTTAAGTTGACAAGTCCCATGTGCCTGTAATTTGACCAGCGCCCTTACCCTTCAAAACCGGAACATGTTAATGCTGCCATTACTGTTTGGCGACAGAAATAGGTACGTTGGCAGTAGCAGTACTTCCCTGGACTAACTCTTTTACAAGGAGCTACTGCTACAATTATTATAACACCATGAAATATGGTCCCAACTACATTATACAATCATGTGCCAGACAATCACACCAGTTACCTGGTCTCGAATCAGGAAATTCCTTGTACTATGAGTATCAGAAGTACAAATTCAGTCCAGGGCATTACACAGACCCCAAGATTAGAATTTATTTAGAAATATTTGTTGCCCAAGTCAAAGCTGGAACTTCCTCTTCTAGCATCCACTAGTAACTGCTATGAGGTTGTCGATTGATCTGATCTTATGAAGAACTTTTTTGAAACTATTTTCTCACTATAGTTTTTAGTGTTCATGTAATAGAACAAATTTGGATTACATTAAAATCCACATGTTGCTTTAAGCGTGTTTACAGAATGCTTTCAAGTATTCTATTATAAATAAATATGGTAATATTTTTTTCACATTATTTAGAGATTTATTACATACAATTTATCTCACACACGGAAGCAGAGCACTAGTAAATAATGACGTAATGTAAGGACTGGTCAGTTATTGCACTGTTTATTTTAGGTCCAATTAGAAAATAAAGAATTAGTTGACTGCAGAGATGAGTAGTGGGTTAAAATACAATCATCCCTCAAAACGGTCAAAACTCGTGCAGTTTTGAACCGGGTTTTATCCCAAGAGTGCCGTTTTAATCAATTTCTGCCAAAATCGTGGGCAGAAAAGACGAATACGGAATTTGGTATAATTCCATACTTTGATCGATAAGAAGAAAATCGGTACAGCAGAAGTTGGTCAATTTAAAAAAAAGGTTTTTTCATATACCAAAATTAACAAAATTTTATTAAATTTCACCAACTTCTGCTGTCCTGAGTTTTTTCTTGACACTGAGTTGATCAGAACTAAAAAAAATTAATCGATTTTCCTCATTTTTATTCTCCATAAACTCACACTTGACTAAAAAATTTACTACCATGCTAAAATTGTTTTCACAAAAAAATACTTAATGGTTCGTACTCCCTTATGGTTTCAGATTTCTCCATACAGTCCCAATTAAAAAAACACACTATACATATTAGGTATTATATTAGAAAATATGTATTTATCTACTTAACTAATTTATAATTTAATGTTATTGATATTGTTTTTGTATTACATCATTTTTGTTTTGTTGTGCTCGTAAACCTGTTATTTTAGTAATTGTGTCCTGTATTTCGGTGTGCAGGAAGTAATTTCTTTTAGAAATAAGGAGAACCTTTTGTTTCGGTTTTCCTTTTAATAAATGTGACTTGTTAAAATGTTGTTTTGAAATTAGTTAGTAAATAAGTAATATTAATTAGATAATTAGAGCGCGACACTCCGCTTTAGTCTTCATTTGTTCTACGGACAGCGCGATACTGCGATGACATAACAATTTAAATTTCAAATAGGTTGACTTGGGACATTTTTTTCATGGTTTTTGTATTAGACCTGTCGTCCATTTATTTGTAAGTCAATGATTATCAGTATTTGGAATTCAGGGAGTTAATTTTCCTAAAGTATGAATGTTTCCTTAGTATGGACATATCCATTTAATTATCAATGTGTTTAAAAATTCTTTTTTTACTGTTTATTTTCTAAACATTCTCAATATTCATATATATAGATAGTTCCGTGAAGTCCCAGAATTGGTAGAAGGGAATGTTCATTTTATTCTTTACTTTGGCTAAATGAACTCCCTCAATTCCAATCACTGGTTGTTATTAATATGTTCCTAATTAGAAAAATACAGTTATCATAAATGAATTATGAGCACGAAATAATTTATATTTAATAATTACATAGCAGGTAATTCTCATTTATTCTTATAGAAACCCATTAGAACACAGTGAAGGGAAATTTAAAATGCAATTTAAGTCTATAATTTCATTAAAAAAATGTTATTTAGGCTTAGTTAATAAAGTATAAATATATAATAAGTCGAAGTTCGTATAAACATAGTGGGTAGGTAGATTATTATTTTTTCCAAAACTAACCTCTTTTATATTCGGCATTTCCAACAACTCGCCGAAGACATGGACACCAGGTGCTTCCAGAACTTGTTTTATCAGTTCAGCGCATGCGGAGCCTTTGGCTCCTTTGGCCAACAAAATAAACTGTTCCAAGGGATGGTTGGATGAAAATGATAACAACGAAGAAGGCTCGTCTCTATCCATCGACATAGGATTCATGATTTGATCGAATATTTTTTATCCTACACACAAGAAAATAATAAAAGCAACTGAGTTACGCTATAATTCTTGAAAATATCACAAATTAACCACTACTTCGGCAATAAAGAAATCCACAAATCTTCTCCAATGACAGTTCTTAATGTACGGAATCGTTTTGTAGGTGCATCAAAATTGGCAATTTTGAAAATGTTGCAAAAACTAAACGCATGACCATAGACAAATGAGTCTTATGTGTGTCCAATGGTAGTGCCATACGAATATCGATAGTTTTACGGTTTTTTGGTTACGTCGATTATTTTTTACTCCTACCACAATCCTATGGGCTTAACGGGCTCACGCTGAAGTATAAATGATTTTCATCATTTTGTAAATTTGTAGGCTTACCATGAGCCCGAAGACAAAAATTATCTTTTTGTAGAACTGTCAATTTTCTCAAGATTAGAAGAAGAAGAAGAAGAGATAACTATCACGGCCCACAGTCATCATGTTACATGTAAATTGCATGCGGGAGGCGTCAAAAGCATAATATCAAACTTTATAATTTGTACAGCGCTCATCATAAGTGAAACCAGTTGAATTTGAATTATTAAGTCTTATGTATCAAGCTTGACCATGTATACAGACTTTTCATTTAACCAACACGTAGCATAAGTATTTAAAACGCTTGCGTCGACGTTGATCCTTCACTTTGAAATTATGGAACTTTTTGTAAACTGCCGAATTAATTTATATATGCTTAAGTCTAGTGCCAAACACAAGTCCAATTAAAAAAAATAATACCATAAACAATAAAATGGCGTCCGGTTTTTTGTGTGTGCGATAAAAATTAATGTTTGCGTGAAAACGGAAAATCATATTGATTGTAGCGATTTTCCGGAGTTAATTGGTATTTTTAAGACATTATGAAGCGAAAGAACAAGTTGAATAGGTTACATAACGTGCCGCAACCCGGAAATTTTGAGCGTGTCGATGTGCCCTGTAGCGTCGTTGTGGTATGCCGCCTTTTATATTGAGTTGATTAGTCTAATTTGGAAGAATATTTCGGGTCAAGATTGGTTCCTGTACGCGTGGGACAGTGATTTTGTTCGATTTGTGTAGGAATTGCGGCGTATTCGGCGAGTTATTCGGTGGGTGCGTTGTGCGTTAGTAGTTGTGAAAGCGTACATACATGATCATTAATTGTAAAACTGTCATGACTATGACTCGTGTTTACTATCAAAATAGTGGATGTGTGTTGGTCAGTTCGTTTTTTTTGTAGTGTAGAGTTTTTTAGCGGCAAGATGTGTATGCCCACGAGTAATGTGACGGGCTTCGGGTATTCGTGGTTTACGAGCTCGGGTGATTTGGCGAAGGGCGAGGTTGACACCCCGAGCGGCCTAAGCTACACCCTCGGGAACACGGTAAGTCGAATTCCTTGTGGAACATTTCGAAGTTTACTTCATGTTTCACTGAAATTTTGTATGTTTCCTGGTATTAAAATTATTTCTTGGTCAGGTCAATGTAATTCAAATAATGCACTAAATGGACAACATCGAATAATTGCCAAAGTGCAAAAGTTACTTAAAAGGTATTAAGTTGCACACTTTTAACTTGACCCTGTAGTAGTTGGTCAAGTTGTAACTGTAAGCATGGCAGTATTGTATAGTTGTAACAGTTAGTTTTTGTGTTTATTGTTATCAGTGGTAACATTGTTCTGATAAGAAATTCCTACATAAGTTTTGTAATGAGCTTACCTAGATTAGGTATTGGTAAAGTAATATTTAAATTAAATACAAATAAGCAATAAAACAGTTCTAAATAGTGGCTATAATTTCAACATTGTCAAATCATCGGAGACGGGTAAAAAGCATTGTTACTGTATTATTTCAATGGCTATGACTTTCATTTTTGCATAGTAAGCATTAATTTATGTTTTCTACAAACTGATAATAATAAATTCCTGTAAATCACACTAATTTGGTTGCCATGACATTCAATGTGGATCTGATTTGGCGACTAAATTACCAAAATAGAGACTCATAATCAAATGCTAGTTATGCATAATTGAACAATCCTCGACGGAATTATATAGTGTCAACAAAATTATTTGAGTAGAAAAATGTTATGTAATTAATACTTTTATCGTGGATGTTAGATGACATGTTACCAGTTTCAATTCTTGATAGGAGTGAAAAATGAGTATTTCTTAATTAGTTCTGGTCTGGGTGGTTGTGGGTTTGTGGCTGGAGTGAATTTAGTTGCTCTGGTGCTCATAGTGCAGGATATTTTCTAGTTTGAGACATGGTAATTGGTGGTAATTGTCTGGTACATTATTATTATGAGGTAAATTGTGATTTTTATTACTTAAGTAATTTGCAAAAATCTGTCTCTAAACTTACAATGTCTAACCATTGTTTGACCACCTTAAGTCATATAGTAGTCTCAGGGTCGTATTCCAGAACTCTACTCAATGCTCAAGTCAGGACTTAGCAGACTTGAGTGTGATTTCAAGCACTGGAAATACGACCCTAATGGCAAGGGTTTGAGTATGATTTTCAGTGCTCACTGCAATACTCAAGTCCTGACTTGACCATTGAGTAGAGTTCTAGAATATGACCCTAAGATTCGTATTCCAGAACTCGACTCAATGCTCAAGTCAGAACTTGAGCAGACTTGAGTACGATTTCAAGCACTGGCAATACGACCCTAATGGCAAGGACTTGAGTATGAGTTTCAGTGCTCACTGCAATACTCAAGTCCTGACTTGAGTATTGAGTAGAGTTCTGGAATACAACCCTAATTTTACATAGCTTTATTTTACTAATTTTACTTTTGTTTACTTTGTTAATTCATCATCTTAAAAGTATTAAAAAAAATGCAAAACAAAATTATAATGAAAAAAATAAATTTAATTGTTTTGAAAGTGTAAATTTTATCAAATATAACTTTTCACAGGTATCTCCAGAAACCACTCTAACTGTGATGTCCCACAAGACACCGCAGGTGCAAGAAAAAGTTGGCACTGTAGTAGCTGTGTCAAATGCAACAGGCACAGCAGTAACAAGAGTTGTTACTGCGGGCACCCCTGGAACTCCAAGAAGAGCCATGTTTGTGCTAAATGAAGCCCCTATTAATAGAGTTGTCCATCAGAATCAAACTGCTACTATTAATAGTGAGTGTATTTTTGTTTAAAGATAAATATAAGAATTCTACTTAATATTGTTCCATTTAACATACTATTAATTCACGTACAATACATACATATCATCTTATGTGTCTTCCTCTAAGGCAGAGACAATGAACGTCTTTGCTGTACTACTGATGGATCTTTTTCTCCTTCGTCATTTGTATCAGTCCTCTTAACATTATCAAGGTCTATTTATTTCCCTGTTTTAACTACAATCGTATTTGCTTATATTCACCTACATACATTCTTTTTCTTTTAGAACGCTGCATATGTGACTGTTACCTTTGTGTACAGTTGTTCTTCTGAAAAGGCTAGAATGATTAACTATTAATTTTCAGTACTTGCAAAGACTGGAAAAACCAGCAGGTTTATTGCACTCAAAACACACAAAACTTTGTTTCGTAAACTAGACTGATTTGTTACCTCTATTTAAACAGTTTGTTGAAAATCTTAACTTGTTTACTTTTTACAGCAACAAACCTTGCATCGAAACCATTCATGACACCACTTGGTCCGATTCAATTAACTGCAGAAGAATGCAATGAGATTCTCATGAAGCGGGCATTACAAGCACAAGGTATCACAACACCAGTCATAGACGCTTCACAACTAAATCACACTTTGTTGAATGGCAGTCTGAAGAGTTTGGCGGAGGCAACTACACAGCAAACAGTAGAAACAATACAGACTACGAGCCATCAACCGCAACAGCAACACCATCAACTGCTGCATGCGAAGCAGGAGCCTGGAACTGCAAATAGTTCACCTAAAGTAAGTTTAACATGTATTTCTGGTATATTTATAAGTGATATTGTACATATACAGGTGACTAATTACCATAGAAATTTTAATACTATGATATGATATGATCTTTGGAGAAAAAAAATGTGTTTTTTCTTGTAGTACTAAATATTAAGATATGACATCACAAAGTTATCTAAAAAATTTCAACATTTGTTGAAATACGCGTGAGTACGACTACGCATTCCGCACCGCACCGTGCCTATAGTTAATTTATTAACTTGCAAATTTTCCCTACATACTATACTAAATGTATGAACTACCTACTTCAGCTATAGGACTGTTGAATTGCGAAAGACATGTGTTTTTTCTTATAATGTAATCGGTTATTAAGTCAAAACTATTAGGTAAAGATCTGTATTAGCCTATATTCAAGTTTTCGGTCTAAGCTTCGGTCTGTCACTTGATTATTTGTAGCCAGACAAAATCGAGTAAATGTGTAAACAAGAGACAACCGCCGTCGAATTTTTTGTCGATCAACATTTTGTAACTTAAATTAGTAGCAGGCACATACACATTTGTTACCTTTTAACCTTGTTAAAATTGAGTAAATCTTGTTTGTTAGGTGACAAGCTCTAAGTGATCGACAAAACCTTAAACTGTAAGGTTTAAGGTTTTTTCATCCTTTAAGGCTTAAAGGATGAAAAAAAAAATACGGTCAAAACTCAGTATATCGAGTGACAATAACAATCTTCAAAAATCGCGCAAATTTATAGGCACGTATTGATCTTCAAAGCACACTATATCGAACGACAATATTGCCAAAAATCGAGCAGATCTGTAGACACCTTTATTTGTTACTGTTTATATTAGTGAGGATCATAATATACATTAACATTATACCTAAAATTGTAGTATTGTGACACTAGTAATGCGAAATAATTGATTTTATTCCATTCAAAGCAGAATCTATAGTATATACTCTTAACTTAGGGTCGAAACACAAAACTGCGAGTCGGCGTGATGCGAATTCGCAACGCAGAAAGCTGCGACGCGAATAGCTGCGATGCGATTTCGTGCAGCAAAACGTCTCACTGCCACGGTTCAGATGATCATTCCTTCGATGATCGTCAACCGTACAGGGGCCTTACCATGAACTCTTATTACGATTCAGTTTAGGACCTAAAATGAATTTTAGTGAGACAGCGCTACATGAAGTGTATATCACCATCCCGCTTTTTTTGGCGTTACGAACCTATATTGAACTGTAATGAGAGTTCACGGTAAGGCACCTGAACGTATTTTTTAAACTAGGTAGCGACAAGTATCCTAAAAAGAGTGTTGCACTGCTGTTATTGATAAACTGTGGGAAAAAAATACAAAGAAGTTTAACATCGCAGGAATGCATCGTGCGAGCTCGTAGATTTCTACGATGCGTCGTGCAAGCTTGTAGATTTCTCCGATGCGTCGTGTGAACTTGTAGATTTCTGCGATGCGTCGTGCGAACTTGTAGCATCACAGTTTTGTGTTTCGACCCTATTCCATGTAAATTGGTGTAGATTAGTACTAAGAACCTCCCACCGGACAGACGGTGTATTCGCAGACCGAGCTTCTGACAACGAACGCTGTGATGACAACGTCCGCGCCCGTGCCCGTCAAGGAGCGACCCTATTCATGCGACGAGTGCGGCAAATCGTTCCTACTCAAACACCATCTTACTACTCACGCGAGGGTTCATACTGGTATGCAAGGTTTCAAATTTCTTGATAAAATTTTCGTTCTCGATAAACAAAATCATGTCATGTCAATCAAAATGGGGAAATAAAACCTAATCAAGAACGCCTTGTACTTCTCACTGCTGAGCCCGTTTTCTTTGAAGAGAAGTTTAAGGCGAAAACTTCCGTGGTCGAGTGGCTTGCACACCGATTTTCATGGTGTCGCCATCTTTAAGGTCTTGATCTGGGTTTGATCCCCAACTGGTTCAATGCAGAAACTAACTTTTCAAGTCAAGTTTTCTGACCCAAGTTTTCTGACTTGGGTCTGTGTGGTTTTGGTACCGTCGTTGTTTCCGATTTCCATAACACAAGTGCTTTAGTTACTTACTTGGGATCAGAGCAACATACGTGTTGTTATCTACTGTTTTAAGATCATAATTGTGGCTCAGTGTGAGTTGGACATTTCAATCGTTTTCCAGGGGTTGAGAACCTTTGTCGACATGCTGATTTTATTACAATGTTTCCCTTTTCCCTTTAGCGAGAGCAAGTGCTACTAAATATTCACAAATTCAAACGCACTTGGAAATTAAAATCTTGGTTAACGGCTTTTTAAATTGTAAATAATAATATACTAATGCAAATTTTTAAATTGTAGGTAGGGATATTTTATTTCTTTAAGTAAATTATATGGCATTCAAAGACTTAAAAAGTAGCTTGCCTCATCAGAAAATCGAACCAACCATATATAAAAAAAACCATTGTTTTGACGTAATTTTCGATAAAAATCGAAGGAATTTTTTATAGTATTCAATAATTATAAAAAACTAGTGGAGTAATTTCACAAAAAAAAACTTAACATAATGGTGGTGAAACATGACATTCAATAACACACTTAATAAACTTTAGGCGATTAACACTGCTGCGTTTTTTAACGTTGTACTGAAGTACCTCAGTTTGTATGGAAAACACGCGCCGCCGAACACACTGACAAAGCTTCTCCGCGCGGGAGAACGGCGCGCGCGGTTTCACCGCGCTCCCGCGCGGAGGGGCGCGACGAACCGCAGGGTATGGCACACTGCGCTCCGCACTACTAATTGTCGTTCGGATGTTCCCTAACAAATAATCAAAGGATTTAGTTGACATTCGTGTGTAGTTGAAAAATTAATCTTCATATTTTCTTAAATCTTTGTAATGTAGTTGAATGTTATCTTCGGTGTCTTTTTATTTGAGTAAACAAAAACAATCGACAGTATAACTGCAGCGTCTTGAATGAATTCTGTATTATTAACCATTCTTGTCAGCTCAGCTACATGTGCAGTCACTACGGCAATCAACTACGAAGCGAGTACTTTAAGTGCCGCGGAGCCGCTAGACCGCTGCCCCCGCGCGGATTAAACCGCGTCTTGACGCAGACCTGCGTCTCCGCTACCGCGCGCGTGATCCCGCGTCTCGCGCACCGTTGCGGGGCGCGGTGCAGTGTGTTAATCGCCTTAAAGTTTTTGTTATACTATCTGACACTTTTTAGATCTGTAATTGGCAGTAAGCTTAAGTTCAAACGAGCATGCGTCTTTTTCGACGACCCCCACGTTCGCTCCTGGGTTTTGCATCGTACCGCACAGAGAGGACTGTTTAGAGCGATCTATGAAATATTGTTATTTTTGTATGAAAGTTAAATTTGATGAATTGTTACTATTTTACAAATAATCATGTATAAATAATAATCATAATTTGCCAAGTTTTGTTGAAATCGGTTACCGGAAATTGGAGCATACCCGGATTCATCCCCTAGTTCGCCACTATACGGGACTTGACACAGGAGATAATAAAAATCGGTTCTCGCTACTCAAAGTATATTGAGAGAGAAAAACGCCTTGAATTGGAGAATAGCAAAATCAACTATAAAAATAATTGCTCCTTATAATAAAATTTACGGTCTATTCATAAAAATGGGATTAAATGGGACCACTATGGAGGTACCCTCTTTCCAACAAAAAAGAATCATGGAAATGGGTTCACAAACACCGGAGTTATCGCGTAACATAAATACAAAAAAAAACATACAGACGAATTGACATTTTCCTCCTTTTTTTTAAATTCGGTTAAAAACGACTGGTGAAAAGATTGAATGGCTGGCAAAGATAAATCTTTACCTACGTTAGTGGACGTGATGGGCGCGATAGTGTACCAAGTTCATAATTAGAGAGGACAGAGAACATGAAGCCTAAAGCAAGTCTAAATCCATGAAACAAAAAAAATATACAGTCGAATTGAGAACCTCCTCCTTTTTTTTGAAGTCGGTTAATAAAAGATGACGGCTGATTTACATTTAATAAACAAAAGATATTTAAACTACAATATTACCAATCTTACTCACGCTGTCTCCCTGTCCGCTCTGTTTCTATATTAACAAGAAAAAAAACAGTTAATCTCACTTAAACTGACGTTCTTCCCGTTTTACTCGTAAGAATTTGTCATGTTGCAAAAAAGGAGTTGGATTTTTCATGTGCATGAACATTTTCACAGCGCAGAGAAACTTTATCGAAAAAAACTATTCCGGGAAGGGAAAATCTTTCAAATTAAAACGCTATTTCTTTGCGAAGGTTATCGTCGACTTAACGCCTCAATGTAAAAATGTGTTGTTTGCATATAGAATATTTTAAACACAGTCGCCTTCCTCGCAGCGTCCATCTGCCTTGCACAAGGTTAACTTAAATTTTTAAAATATACTCTCGGACTGAGTATTATAAATCGAACTGGTTAGTTTAACCATGAAAGTCGACATTCGTTAGCGAGCGTGAAACTCGATTTTTTTTATGTATAACAAGTCGTGGGCCTGGTGGTAAGCGACACGCCTGTTCATAGCAGTTGCAGTGCCACTCAAAGCTTTAAATCGCAAAGATCTTAGGGGCACTGCCACTGCGCCCGTCACCTTGAGACAATAAGTTGACAAGTTCCATGTGCATGCAACTTCACCAACACCTTTAAAACCGGAAGGCAGTTATGTGACCATAACTGCTTGGCAGCCGAAATGGTTGAAGTGGCAGTACTTCCAGCGGGGAACTCTTTCACAAGGAGGTCTACTGCTACTAACATGCTACTCTACTATTCTACTTTACTGTACGTGTTTAATGAAAGCTAGTATTTGGAGCTTCTCAAGGCTAGAGGGAGTAGGCATTTACTAGACAAAGGCGTATCATTATGGCCACGTGCTCGTCTAAGCCTTGAAAATTTTTAACCTTTTTGTTACGTTGTTTATACATAACTTCAAATGTAATGCTATTGAGTATTTTGCTATATTATAACGAGTTCTTAGGTTTTCGCGATTGTTACACATAGGAAATGAAACTATTTTTCCGGATTTAAATAGCGTATATTTGTTTTTTCAAACAATCCGACGTTTCGGGCCCTTTACAGCTCCCATGGTCACGGTTGACTGACCACCGTGACAGTTAACCGTGACCATGGGACCTGTAAAGGGCGTCGCCGGACTATTTTTCCTTTGCTATATTATTTTTATTAATTTTTATTTCATGACATAATTTTGTACTATTTCCTCGTGTCATGTATTTGTTATCATTATCAACTTTATGACGAGCCTTGATGAAGAATATTTGTAATATAATTTCGCACACAAAACACTGCCTTAACTAAAAATTGTGAAATTGAGATGACTTTGAAAATAAAAAAGGAAAAAACTGAATGAAACTAATATAACATATATTTTCGTTTATAAATGGATAAGTAGCAGTAGAGCCCCTTGTGAAACAGTACGCCCAGACTTAGACAGGCCTTTAGTATAATTTAAAAAATGTAACTGACGGGGCCAAAATGGGGTAGGGTGAACGCACTGACTGACCTTGAGTTGTTCCCTCGATAGATGTGTCGGTCGCTGGTGTTTATGCGTATGCCCAGGTGTTAAGGGGTTGTCGCGCCGCCCACTCTGGTCTCTCACAGACAGATGAGATGCTAAGATGATTTTCCGTATTGCCATTGGACAACTGCTACGGTGATATCGCGTCAAAAGCGACCGTTCGCTAGCGCGGCGTAGTTGCAACAGGGCCCGTCAAAACGGGGAATATCCTACCCTCAAATCAGTGCGTTTTTTAGGATAGGAATAGAGAGGAGGTGAGTAGATCATTTGTGCATTTGCAAAGATGCCTACGTATCAAATCTGACAGTAACTAATTTATTTTTTCGCCTTTACCTATTCCTGTGCCAAGCAGTAATGTGAACACCCGCGTTCCGGTTTTAAAGGATAAAGGTGCTGGTGAAATTACAGGCACATGGGACTTGTTAACTTATGTCTCAAGGTGACGGGCGCAGTACCAGTGCCCCTCAAACCTGTGCGATTTAAAGCTCTGAGTGGCACTGCAACTGCTATGGACAGGCGTGTCGTTTACCACCAGGTGTTGCAAGACTTGTTCGTCCCACCACTTGGTATCATGAAAATTAAGTATTATGTATAGATAAAAATAATCCTATTGTTCGTAATAAGATTCAATATTTTTTTTAAATTTTAGTTTGTATTTTGGCAACAATATTTATAAAATTAATATTTAATTATTTTTTGTGAAATTACTCCACTAGTTTGTTGTAATTATTAATATAAAGATCGAATATTTAGAAAAAAATCCTTTTCCTTTTGAAGGAACTTTTAATTATAACAATATTATTATGAATGAATTGTTTACTTTAGAATCATGTTGTATTTTTTGTGACGATTGACGTGTGCAATTTTACTGTAACATTATATTTGAGCAATAAATAATCTAAACTGTAGACTTTAGTGATAATACTAGTTATTAGATTGCTATTTAACACTTATTAGCAATATTAAGGCGATTTGACTCATACAAGCCGGGGGAATCGCCGCTTTGTGATCGAATGATAATTCCGCGCGCGATCATGTGTGACGCGGTATGCTCAACCGTGAATCACATAAGTACAGCTGGCAACAGCGATCAATTAGATTGTACTAAAATAAGAAATGGTTGCCCAACGGAACAACGCTTCCTAATTAAGGAGGT